TCTTCTGAGCTCTGTGGTGGTTTGATTTTTTTACAGGGGGAAGCGAGTGGAAGGTGATTGCCGAGAGACTGGGTTTTAATCAAGCATACATCCGCTGTTTCGACAGTCGCTATCGTAACCCATTGGAAGTTGTGCTGAGCTGTTGCCCATTGACTGTGGGTGAACTCTATGACATCTTGGTCGAATGCGAGCTACCTGTGCTTGCTGACTTCCTGTAGGAGAGGCCTTTGGTTACTTTAGTCATTATTCTTTATTTTAAGGGTGTTACTAGTAAGTGTTATGGCTGTGCAATAACTAGTGCTGTAACACAAAGTAAAGAAGGCATGTTGGCCATGTACCACCTTGTTACACCTGTATACTAAAGCAACAGTTGATGAAAAATGATATGAGAACTCTGAATTAGAACTCTGGATAGGGAAGATGAAAGGTTAAACAAACGTTTTGTTTTCAGTTTATTGGGACTGGGCAGAAACAATAGTTAAAATCAAGGTGGTTAAGCAGCCCTGAATTATGCTTATTTAGTCCTTATTCTTTATAGCCATGTAATGCGTGGCTTTTGATTCTCACCATTTGAGGGGATTTATCTCTGTTAGGAGAAGCAAACATTGTGAGTTGAGAGTCAACTTGGGGAGGGAATTACATTTTTAGGGTTTAGAGGCGTTGCGTCAAACGGTAAACAAAAAGCAGTTAAAAAAGGGAATCTTCAAATTGAAGAAAACCTCAAACTAGTATATTTTCTAAGGTATCAAAAATTAATACGTTATACAGGAACACGTCGGATAGCTAAGATTGGGGAAGATATTGAATTCTCGCCTCTAGTTTTCGTAAGAATGTTGGATTACTTTCGAAGCATGTTCTTCATACGTGGTGTAGGGTAATTAAGAGTAATGAAAATTAAAACAATATAAGTGGAATTTTGTTCCTAAAGAATCCACTTCTACTATTTTTATTCTATTCCCCTTTATTGCCCTTCACCATGTGAAAGTGTCAGACTGCTACAGAATCTTCAACATCAGACGTTTTTTTCAAGGGAGCCATCAGATGGCCTTCTAGTATTAACATTCGAGTAGAATAAAAAATTGCAATTGTAACTATAGCTCTTAATTTAACTATAATTTAATTTAATTTAATTAATTTAACTATAAATTGCAATTGTTGCTATAGCTCTGTAACTAGCTATAGCTAAATGAATGAAAAAGGAAGGAGGAGAGAGAGAGAGAGAGAGAGAGATAGAGAGAAGGGAGAGAGAGATTTAATCAGTTTATTAACTTGAAAAAAAAATCATGACTCAAAGAAGAAACAAAGTAATTATAACCGATAGTTGATTATCTTAGAATTGTGAATCTGTTTAAAAACAGCAACAATGACTTTTCGAGACTTTCAAATTATTTGATATAAAATTTAATAATAATACGGATAGCTAAAACGTAATCAATTTGTTGGAATTTAAAATAGCAATTTTAGGTATTTTTCCGTTACCCCTATTATTGTCAAAGATTGTAGTTTATAAACTGAATTTAGTATTTTTTTGTTTAAATAAGGGTATTTTTATAGAGATAATCAAGTTTCGTACTCAAGACATGTAAAAAGAAACGATTAAATATGAGGGCGCACTATGAATGACCTTCATTGAGGCTTTATATAGATAATAGCAAATTTGTTTAGGTATTTTCGTTACTTTATTATTGTCAAAGATTGGTAGTTTTTAAAATTGAATTTAGTATTTTTTTAAGAAGACTATTTTTTATATGTAGATAAACAAGTTTTGTGTACTCAAGACATATAAGCATATAAAAGTGACGGTGGTGATCGTCGGAAAAAGGTACCAAAATTACGGTTGTGGGTGTGGCTCGAATTCATTTTCAACCCATAAGAGGTACCAATTGTTGCACATGCGCACAATTTAGAAAGCTACTCATTCTCGTTCCCAGATCCTTCGTTTCTTTTGGTCACGTGGTAGGCGAAACGTAGGTACACGTCACAACATTTAAAAAAAACCGCGTAGATCTGGGGACGAGAATGAAAGCTACTTCGCTGCGCAGCAATAATTATGCCATAATTATGCAATAATTATCCAATAATTATGCAATAATTATCCAATAATTATGCAATAATTATGCAATAATTATCCTCGTACGCAGTGTCTTCGTTCCCCTTGACCAGCAGCCGGGAAACGTTTCGTCAAGCTTGCGCATTAAGGAGCGAAGACTCGATGTAATTATAGCTTAATAGCGTTTTTCATAACCGAGTTATAGCCAAATTAATTTTCAGAATATTACAGTATTTAGTATATACCGTCGCCATGGTGTCCTTCTTCTTTGGGGCACCAATATGGCAGCCATAAAATCGTACAAGAAGTAGAGTAGATCAGTTTCTACTGATGTACCATCAATATCATTAGCGTTCACTTCAAAGCTCTTGAGATATCACTTCTAATATAAATTATTAGCACGTCTGAAAATTTAAAAAATCCGTTTTTGTGACAGTTCACAAAGGCGTTCATCCGGGAAAAATTTCAAAATGCTTTATTTCCCAAACCAAGCACTGGATCGTTACCAAACTTTTCATAGAGATTAATGATTTTTATGTCTAGAAGATATTAAAAGAAAGCTTTATAAGGTCTTATAAGAGTAATTTTGATGACGTCAAATGAAAACCACTAATATAGCACCTCGTTCCCAGGGTCTCTCATCTTCCTGCCCCCTGGAGTGGGAGATGAGAGACCCGGAAACGAGGTGTTGCGGTCGAAGGTGAAAAATGTACGTCGTAGCTTTGTTGTGGCGGAGTTTGATAACAGCGTTTACAATCTCTTGCACCGATGGCGCGTTTATATACAAATGAGGAAAAAGTCTGGAGGCTCTCTCCCAGATTTCGCGCGGCCATTTTCTCTTTCACTTTATTTTTGCTTCCGGGGATTCGGGTATTATAAACTTCCGTAGTCAATCCTCACGATTCACACGATCGGTCGAATCAAGCTCAAAGATCATGCCTTTTTTCAAAAAGGTAAAGAAGTATGTCAAGCGACCAGATAAGGACTCTGCTCGCAGGGTATCAGATAGGGAAGCAGCCAAAAGGATAGTGTGTGTTGCCTTTGTATGATTATACCGATTATACTGCCTCACAGCATCCCAGAAAACAACCGAGAATTGAGCTTCAGGAAAGGCGAACAACTTGAAATCCTTGATAACACTCATGCCTGGTGGTTTGTCAAGAGTCTATCTACTGGCAGGGCCGTAGCTAGAATTTTTTGAATGGGGGGGCAATGAAGCGAGTGCCGAAGGCGCGAGCCGCTAGGGGGGTCTGGGGGCATGCCCCCCCAGAAAATTTTGAATCTAGAGGCTCGGAAATGCTATTTTGAGCATTTTCCATGAGATATTTTGTCAAAAAATCAATCTCGATTCAGTGTAAAATGACAGGTATTTTTAGTGCTTACAGGCAATATTTCCGGGTTTTGTTACCTTGATACATACCGTATATCGGCCTTAGTACACTAAACATTTTATTAGTCTATTTCGTGTGTAAAAGATGTCTCCAGTTGTATTTCCGCTCCAAAATATATTTCTCAATCAATCGTAAATGTTTCAAATTAGTATGGTACCGGGCAGTCAAAAATATAACTACTTACTTAGTTACCTGAGAAGTAAGAAGTTCTCGCCTCTTCGTTTCCCCATCATCTTGATTAATATGCCGAGCAAAATCTGGGGAGATCGAGTACCAAGCCTTTGAAATGTTCAATCTTGTTTTTGAAAGACCTCGGCATATATTTTTATCAAGAAGGCGGCTGTTTGGAACGCGAAAAAAAACATACGCAGTTTTCGTTTTTCAGAAAGCATTACCCATTCTTGGGGGGGCAACTGCCCCCCTTGCCCCCCGCTAGCTACGGCCCTGACTGGACTAGAGGGTCTTATCCCATGCCATTATGTGACGCCAGGATTAGATACGTAAGTGAAACATTTCTTATTTTCTGTTAGTTTCCTGGGATAAAACATTTTAATACCCCTGGTTTATGCAATCATTCAACCGTAGCTGCCATTCGAATATCGAATGTTTGATTTGATTAATGGCAAAATATATCTTTCCATCACCGTGAGAGAGGTGATAGTAATTCTGGCAACAACCCAGAAATTTGAGTGATTTAATAAAAATAAAAAAAGACAAAAAAACACGGCTTCCGCACGATCGCGACAGTTTTTCATGTCTGAAATTTGCATCCTAGACACATTTAGAGGAACGTGCACGAAAGAATGTATGCTGTCACAATTTGAGTCAGATGGGGTCTTCATAGCAAGTTTCTGAAATTTCCTCTTCGCTTTAGCAGCTTTTCGACAATAGCAATGAAAACATATAAACTACAGGAAGAAGATACACAACGAATTATTTGCAAAGGGGAAAAAGCCAAGCGTGACAAGCATGGTTTCTGACTATCCTGCGGTTTGGTATACCGTTAGCTGTCAAATATTCAAATTTAACTGTCTGGTTGAATGAAAAGCCGTCGCATCAAGGCACGTGGGTGCTTACCATTTGTAAGACAAAACCGGTTGGGGTCTGGCTCGTCCCCAGTCGTCTCTCTGTCTCCTGTTAATATTTAGCGGCGGCCGAGGGGAGCGCAAGGGTTGATGGGAAGGAGGGAAGGCGGGAGACGACTGGCAGATCCTGTTTTCCAAGATGGCGGACAGAGCAATGGCGGCGTTTTGATGAAATAGGCGCTATTAAAAGAGAATGCTTTCCGCCGCCCTTGCGACTCCCAACAAAGGAGACAAGAGAGACGACTGGGGACTAGTCAGGGTTGGGGTGACCGTTGCATAATGGTAACCAACCAACCGGAAGAGGTGGCGTTTACCATTTACAATATTCTAATTCCGGTCTTTCAGTCAATATGGCCGACTCAGCTAGAAATCTAAAATCTCTTGACTACTAAAGAAGAAGACGCCATGGTCATTGGTGCCGTAAGCTCCTCTACCACTGAGCTGCAGGTCTCAGTGATATTTCCCATGCACGAGTCTTCTGTAGCTCAGTGGTAGAGAAACTGACCAGTGTTCGGAAGGTCATGGGTTCAATTCCTGTTGGGGGAACTCAGAATTTTTTCTGAGTAGCTTGTGTCACTGAACTGAATAACAACTTTCTCTGTCTCATATATTTTAGTTTTTTATATCCTTTGAGAAATGTCGACTTGGTAGAATTCTACAGTGCCATAGGAGAAAACCAGGGGGGCTAGCAGCGAGGCCTGGAACCTAGTATACATGATTGCACATTTAAGAAATTTGGCCGAGCGAGACTAAGTACTGGTTTGTTTAAAATAAACATGGCGGACGATGGGCGGACATGACGTGCGTTTGTGTTCGTTCAGAAATATTTTGGCGATTCCACGTTCAAACATCTATGGGAACGATTCGGTTGCTGTTTAACTGAACTTTGGTCATTGTGGGACACCATGGATGGAAATTCCTCCCGTTTCTCGATTGATTGACAGATTTCTTTACTTGTGCGATCATGTATAGCGATCAAAGGGCGCTGCCTCCCCCCCTGGAGAAAACATTGAATATAGCGAACAGTAACAATAAATGTAATACAGAATTCATATAATACTACATGATGGCGGCCAAACACGAGGGGCATGCAAGGAGAAACCTGCTGTCACACTGAAGTAATGTGGACTTCTCTGGTGAACTGACAATAATTGAGGTTGAATTCCTGGATCGATCCTGGACATCGTCATGGAATGCATGAGAAATTCCTCCAGATTCCACCTGGAGTACTGGGTAAACCTGGGGGTTGAATTTCAAATTACTCTGGATCAGAGTCAAGCATAATTAGGCAGTATCATTGATATAATCCCGGACAAACTCCAGGGTGGAATACTGGTGGTATTCCTGATCTGTTTTAACTGGGAAAGGGATTATAAGGAGTTATAATAATTTATTAAACAATAAATATTAAAGCTTGATGTATGTTATTTTTCTTAGCTCCTGGTTCTTTGGCAAAATGAACCGTTCTGATGCTGAAAAGAAGCTTCTTGTTCCAGGCTTACCTTCGGGTTGTTACCTTATCCGTGAATCTGAAACATGGCCCGCAGATTATACACTATCCATAAGGCATTATAAAAATAGAGTCGGGCACTATCGTATAGAAAACTGTTACGTCAGGGACGGTTGCAACATCCTACTTTATTAATAGGACTCAAGCACCGTTCCAAAATCTTTCAAGCCTAGTTCACCACTACAGTAACAATGCAGATGGTCTTTGTTGCAAACTGACTCATCCATGTGGCACAGTTGTACCTCCTGAGATTCTTGCAAGGGGAGACGTAGCCTTGGCAGCTTATAATAATGCCTTAGTAAGGGAAAAACATGTGTCAAGAGAGTACCAGTCATGTTGATTGGACAGGACCGGTCAGGAAAGACCAGCCTGAAGAAGTCATTGAAGGGACAGGTATTCAACCCAGATGAAGATAGCACTGTAGGGATAGATATTGACCCTGCACATTTCAAAGTCTCACATGAGGACTTGGAAGGTAGGGGAGAAGGATCAAGAATCAAATTCTGATGCAGTCATTTCCTATGAACACCACACAGCACAGTTGATTGTGGGTAGTTTGACAGAGAAAAGACCAAAGCCTTGCAGAGGGAAGAGCTTTGGAGCCTGTCAAGTCTAGAAATACTTCTCTACCCAGTACAGATACAATGGCTTCTAGTAGTGAATTTCCTTCTGTCATTTCAGAAGAACCAAATACAAGTGATAATGCCTATTCCGATGATGTGTTTGATCCAAGTGAAAATTTGGCAGAAATGTATTCGTCTTTTTCTTTCATTACACAAGAAGTGCCTGAAGAGGTAGCAACTTTGGTTGAAAAGTTGCTTCACAAGGTTAACAAAGAAGAAGATGAAGAGAGGACATCTATTCAATTTTGTGGGATTTTGGTGGGCAGTTTGTTTACTATGTCACCCACCCACTGTTTCTTACAGCAAGAGCAATTTACCTTTTGATTTATGACCTCAGCCAGAACCCACATGACAGAGCCAACACTCTTGTGAAGCCAGGAATGTTCAAAAAGTTCGAAGACAACTTTTGTCTGAAAACCAATTTGGATTATTTGGATTTTTGGATGACTCATGTTGCTTCCCTAGCCAGTCAAGATGAATACAATCAAAGACATACAGGTCTTAAATCGGTGTTGCCAGAGAAACTTCCTTCTGTGTTCTTGGTGTGCACTCATGCCGATACACCTTATGGTGGAGGTGATCCTAGTGCACTCGCCCATTACATCTTTGATTTTCTACAGACCAAGCCATACAGTTCCCACTTGTTTGAACGTGTCTTTATTGTGGATAACACAAAGTCAGGCAGTACATCCGAGTGTCCAGAGATTGTGTGTTTGCGAAAGGAAATACTTGCTGTTGCTAAGGAGCTACCACAGATGAAAGAAGCCATTCCAATAAAGTGGCTGAAATATGAGAAGGCACTTCAAGTCATGAAGGAAGAGGGTCACAAACAGATCTCTCTTGGAAGAGCAAAGCAAATTGCATCTGAAGTCTGCAAAATTGACGAACAAATGGAGATTGTGACATTGCTCAACTTTTTACATGATCAGAGAATTTTAATTCATTTTGACGACACTCCAGAGTTGAACAAATTGGTGATCTTGGACCCTCAGTGGTTGATTGACGTGTTTAAGAAAGTGATAACTGTTAAACCGTATGACTACAAAGAAAGAGAATTTAAAGAACTATGGCGTCAGCTTGAAACAACAGGCATTCTTGAAGGAAAACTTTTAGAACATGTTTGGGGCCCTTTATTTGACCACAAAGAAACGTCAGAGAGCCTTATTGCAATCATGGAGAAATTCAGCTTGCTGTGTCCATTGCCCTCGTTAGATGCTTCATCTAGCAAGAAGTATCTGGTACCATCCATGTTGACGACACATCCTCCAGAGGACATCATCGAGTTGGTTGCTTCTGCAAACATTCCCTCTGCTTTCCTTAAATTTGGATCTGGTCAGGTTCCTGCAGGCTTGTTTTCCCGACTTGTTGTAAAGTTATTTCAGTGGTGCACTGAAAAAGGTCCAAGCCAAGTTGCTCCCCAATTTTTTCACAACTTTGCTAGGTTCTACATCCTGTCAGATGAAGGCGTCTCTGTGGTTCTTCTTTGCCATTCGTCTTCCATTGAAGTCATTTTTCTTGGTGGAAATCCTAATCTTGCTTTAGCAGGAAGTTCAAAACTGAACGTGTCTGCAGAGTTTTGCCATGACACCACTGATATGACGTCTGCCCGTGTTGTACGTAGCCAACTGGCATTGATGATTGATGGCATGCGGAATGAGTTCTGTTGGCTAAAGAACGTGAGATGTGAAATGAGTTTCCTCTGCCCAGTCTGTAGCCCACAAGGTTCCGTCAAGTACTGTCAAAATCATCATGTAAAAGATTGCAAGCAAGAAGAATGTCTTCACTTCTTCTCAGAGTCTGAGCTGTACAGGTCAAAAGAGGTCATCATGTGCACCAGGTCTGCTACTGCACAGGATAATAAGGTTCAGGTCAAGCAGTTTGCTCCTTGGTTTCCTTTTGTCCATGAAAAGGTGAGTATTCATTAAAAGCCTGTTCAATCGATGTTTTTCTAAAATTGTGCATGCAACAACTTTGGAAAATCTATTACTTTACTATCAACATTTTTTACAATAGTGAGAGAACAAATAATCCTGGGGCTTTAAGCGTTAAAGCCCTAGTAAGAATGGTTTACTTTTGTACAAGATAATAAGTTACATAAAAGAACATCTCCTTATAATTACCCATTTCTATACATTTCTTATGTTTAAAACGTTAGTTCCAAGAATTTAGATGGTATATCTTAGGTGGTACATGTGCATCAAGACTTTCACTTATATATAACTAAGTCGATTATTTTATTTATTCTTGTGACCTGTCTGCTTGACAGTTTTGATTTTGTAAAGAGAAATTATATGTTAATCCCTATGAGAACAAATTTTATTCTCGTTACCAATACATAATCAAGCACGCAAGAATCCAGGAAATGATGAACAAAGAGAACTTGTTTTCAGTTGTTAAAAAAATTTAGTGAAGAGATTTTGTATATTGAAACAAGAGAAAGACACAATTTAAAATGTAATTCTCTACTCTGTTTATCAGGAACAGCAAGCAACCACTGAATTTCATGAGATAATTAATCTGCCTTCTGTGGATGGTAAGTTTCCTTTATTGTTTTCTAGTCAAATTAAGACGTATTCTCTCTTCTCTCTTCTCATTTCTTAAGGTTCTGTCCTATCCGTATGGCATGCCTTAGAAGACTGTTCACAGCCTCTCTATTTCCTTAGAAGGTCGTGGAATGCGTGAGTGAAGGGAGCGAAGCATGCGTTCTTGACCCTCCTTGGCTTGCATTGATGCCTACTCCATGGACAATTCATAGTCATACTTCATGATCTCAAAAAATAGAGGCTGCAAACAGAGTTATGCCTTAGGCTTTGCCAATTGGCCTTGATAAGTTATATATATTAAATTTATGATCAGAAAATCCTTCCAAAGTTGTTTCAAACATTTAAAATCCCAGGACACCAAGGCAAGTCCTTGCCTTACCAAGTGACATTCTAGGATCTCTTCAGTCACAATCATGTAATGCCCAAGACGTTTGTTGTTCAACTACAAGAGACTCTGCAGCTAAACTGTTCCTCATTGGAGGAACTGAGCCAGATACCAAGGGGTGGATCCGTTGCTTGGCAAGAGAGGCAAAGTGTTCAGACAGGCTTGATCTGGTCAAACACCTGAGGGAAATTGCACCAGCTGGTACCACAGGTACTGACATAGCAGAATTTTGTAATTTTCATCTCGATCTTCCCAGTCTTAGCCATCTTTGTTCCGGTTTGGTTTATTGGTACCTCTTTAGTGGTTTTCTATCTTAGTAAAACTGTTATTTTATGGTTCTTTCGATTTGAAGGTGATTTTGTACATCTGATAAAATGACTAATGTATCGTGACATAGCTCATTTAAGGACGCTCACAGCATCTTTTTCATTAGTCTTGGAGTGTGGCCCTTTTTAAACCGAAAATCGTGTACCAGGTTATGGCAC